CATTGGAGCTTCAGGCGCATCATACTAATCTTAAGAGATTGCCCGAGAAAGACTGTGGTTGTTCAGCAGGGGGAGGGCACAGAGTGTTGAAGGCCCTCCGAGAACCTTTAAGGAATTTCGCGCCAGCGGCAGTCTGTCGTCCCTACTGCTTTTTCAGCCTGGAGATTTAAGAGAGTTGGAAGGGGGTCGTTTTTCACCCCTTCAGCCTGTTCCTCTGGCCCCGCCGGTAAGGTTCCCTTGTGTAAGGTATCGCCAGATTTGTCGTCTCGTGGAATCCTCCTCTCCCTATTATTTTTAGCAGCTTTTCTAGATTCTTTGCTCCGTGTCGGGGGCGGGGTGCTGGAGGGCCGGCCGGCGGCGGCGGCGCGGGGATGGCGGGCTGGAGGGTGGCTGGCGTCGCGGGACGGAGGACGGTCCGGGCTGTGGCCGGCGGGCGGTGCTGCCCTTCGGGCCCCGCGTCTCCCAAGCCGCTCCCTCCCCTCCGCCGACGACCCGCACCTGCCCGCACCCCGGCCCGAAGTGAGCAAAGTCAATGAAAAGTTTCACCCTTAGCAACCCTGCGCACGGATCCGGCTCCCGCCCGGCGTGATGCGTCCCTCCGCCCGCGGGGCGGGGCCGGCCGGGACTACTTCCGAGCGGGCGGGCGGCGGAACCCCCTGGTGCTGCCGACGCGCGGGCACCTGCCCCCCCCCCCCAGCCCTGCGGGGCCAATCCTGCCCGGCACCCAGGTCCCCGCTCCAACGTCAGCGAGGCCGCCTGCCCTGCGCATCGCGGCGCCGCCTCGTAGTCATGTCCTTCGGGCCCCAAACCATTGAGATCCTCTCACCTCGCAGGCTGTGTCCGCCCGTGGACAGCCGGCTCCTGGAAGGGAAGGTCCTGGAATGGGACCGCGCTGCCCCCTTTGCGTGTGCTGGCTGCCTGGCTGCTGCGGGGAGCACGGCTGTCTGCACTCCTACACTCCCCCCCAGGCCGCCTCGGTGAGCCCCTCCAACTTCGGGCGAACGTCCGGGCGGCCGCCCTCCCACCCTCCGTGAACAGCTGCTGGAGCTATAGGAACGG